AGACACTGTGTGCAAGCTGAAGACTCAGCAGAGCTGAGCAGAGTGAGGAGATGATGCTGTGTGTCTGGCTGTCAGTACTACCGGTTATGCATGGCGTTTGCTTTCTCGACAGCAGTAGGACGCTGCTGACACTCCTCCTGGAACCCACTTTCAAGCGCCTATGAAGGAAGGGGACTGGGAACAGCCAGCATAGATCTACCAAGGGGAAATCATGGCTGACCAACCTGATCTGCTTCCGCGATAAAATGAGTGGCTCTGTGAATAATGGGAGATCAGTGATGTTGTTTACCTGACACGAGCAAAACATTCAACAGTCACATATATAGTCTCCTTATAGCCAGACTGGCAAGATATGGACTGAGTAAGTGAATGGTGAAGTGAGTGGAAAACTGACTGAACCGGCGGGCTCAGTACTGGTGGATCAGTTGCATGAAGTGGCCGGTCCCTAGTGGCACCCCTCAGGGTTCAACACTGGAGCCAATATTTTTTTTTTGTTTACTAACGACATGGATGACAGATCACACACTCGCCAAAGTCACAGTCAGCATGAAACAGGGGAGGGAACGGTCAGTACACCAAAGGGCAGGGCTGCAATTCAGAGGGACCTTGACAGGCTGGAGAAACGGGCTGGACTAAGACGAGCCAGGAACCCTACTCTCAATCACCTGTCTTAAGCCTACAAAAGCCCCCTCCTCTCCCAGTGGAGAGACTGTCGGAGTTACAGCACCCAGCAATCTCTTAACATGTTATCTTTCCTTCCTGGCTTTTGCTTGGAACACAAACACTATTAATGACACCCTTGATTGTGCAGATGGAGAGGTTTTGTTGCAATTATCTTAATGATCATTTTAATCTTAATTCTTTACGCTCTTTCTCGTGGCTCTGCTGACTTCCTGTTTGGTCAGCAGACTGCTTTTATGTTTTTGTGATAAAGGCATACTCTAACTCTTTTTTTTCAGAGCTGATGTGAATGTATAAACCACTTATTAAAAGGACAATCAATTAGAAGATTGATCCTGAAGAAATGGTCAGTGAAACCTTACTAGAAGGCCTCTTCCCAGGCAGAGGGCAGACCCGTGGTCCTTTCCATTAGCCAACAGGGCTCCTTTTCCCATCAAGCAATTCAGTGTAGACCTGTTCTACACATCAGAGTCTAAAAAGTTCTTGAGATGTCTCAAAAACAGTTGAGCCAAAGGCTACACTCTGTCTTTTGACAGAGTGCTTCCTGTTTGGCTATTCTGAGGTTTGAACGAACAGAATCAGCAGTTTCAGCTCCTGAGAACAAAGTATTTTCTGTCTAGTTAAAACTTTAAACTCTATATGAGTCTCCATAGAATAATTCAATGAATAAGAAAAGGGAGAGCGGAAGGAAAGTTTACTCATTGCAAAAAAACCCCTAAACCTATACCTTGCAATTGTTAAATTGTTAAGAGTGGTGGTGAAAAGAAAAAAGAGATACCAGGAACTGAGTTTTAAAGATGTGTGGGTGGGTTTTTTTAGTAAAAGTTGGTTTCAAAACCACTTTCAGAAATGGTGACCTGCAGCTGAACATCTACAGCTGATGTCTGACATTGACTGTAAATTTAGGCAAAAGCTGTGTCGGGGGTGGGTGGTGGGGAACCAGATCAAAAGGAGAGGGAGAGGGAGAAGGAGAGAAGGGAAAGGGAACACTGTCCCCAGAGGGCAGCCAAGAAGAGCAGCAACTGGATTTTCAGGTGAATGTCCTCTCACAGGCTTCCTCTCTGCTATGGCAGGGGGTTCCCAGCACTTCTCCTGTATAATAACTGTATGCTCCTCCTCAGGTTCTTCTCAGATGCCCTACTAGCCGCTACTCTTACGACACTAACCAGAGTATGCCTTTCTCAGAGGAAGGTGCGGCTGATTAGCTAGGGGAGGACCCAAACACCCAGAGCCCTGGGAAGAACGCAAGGACATGCTCCCTGCTCTAACTCCTGAACTTTACTTCCACAAATGGCTGACTGTCGTGGTTTAGCCCCAGCCAGCAACTCAGCACCACGCAGCCGCTCGCTCACTCCCCCTACCCCAATGGGATGGGGGAGAGAATCGGAGGAGTAAGAGTGAGAAACACTCCTGGGTTGAGATAAGAACAGTTTAATAATTGAAATAAAGTAAAATAGTAATGCTAATAGTAACAGTATAATAATTATGATAATAATAACGATATACGAAGCAAGTGATGCACAATGCAATTGCTCACCACCCGCCGACCGATACTCAGACAGTTCCTGAGCAGCAATCGCTGCTCCCTGGCCACC